CGATTGCCCAAGACAGTCTTCATCAATTCTCGAAATCGTTTTCATCAATTCTCGAAATCGTTTTCATCAATTCTCGAAATCGTTTTCATCAATTCTCGAAATCGTTTTCATCAATTCTCGAAATCGTTTTCGTCATAATCCACAAACACATTAGGATGATTGAAAATGTTCGCGTGGCTGTTAAAGAAGCCAGGTATGTTGTTAATGTGCTCATTATTGAATACATTAACGAAACTTCCAACGTCCTCGTTGGAATGGTCGACTTCGTTGGAATGGTCGTCCCCGAAAGCGAAGGGACCTCGTTCGAAACCAGGATGTCTTCGGGCGACGCAGTTGATAGTGCGCCGTTTCAGTAGAAAGCCCACGACCTCATTCAGAGGCGCTTTTTTCAGAGCTTTTAGCGCGACTTTTACGCCCTTGGGTGTGACCTCACTGGCCTTGCATGCTCGATGGACTGGAATGGTAAAGGTTTTAAGTGTACCTGTCTCCACGTTTTCCAGAGGTATTCGAATGACGGCCAGCGGGGTGAAATGCATCTTCTTGAATTTCTTAATTGGAGAGGAGCAAGGATACTCATGCCATTGCCTGCCCCGAACGCGGTGGACATGAGTCGCCCACTGTTGCAATCGCGGCCACAAGTTCTTATCCACACCACACGTTTTGGGATGGCGGGTTACGAGGCCGTGGATCGAGGCCAAACAGTCAGCCACGGCTCTGAACATCTCGTAGGTAAGACGTTGGTCCGACTCCATTGCGCCCCTCAGCTGGTCAGCGGTGATGGTCTTCATTGGCATCATGTCGAAGGAGCCCACTTTCTTGTCTGGAAGGTCATAGAGCAGCAGCAGCCCCTCGAAGAACGCAACATGCAGCCCGTGTGTGCCAAACACATGCCGGTTGCCGCCGGCCATCACCGGATGCAACGTCTGCACCAGGTCCGCCCAGTGACCGTTCACCGCAAATGGCACCGCCACACTCGATAATGCCCCCCACCCTGCTCCCCTGACAGCCTCACTGGCTGTGCACCTCATCCCAGAATTATTTCTACAAAAATCAGCCACAACATTCCTCCCCACTGAGCCTTCTCCCTATTGGGCCTTCTTATACTGTAACTCGCGCGAGAACGACCGACCACAGTCCAGTCTCGGCGCTGGATACTATTACAGGTGACGGGGAGTTAGGGTTTGATTCCGGAGCGCGGCAAATTCTTCAACAACGATAAACCTTCCGCCAACGCACCGGGAGCTCCATACACCAGGTCCAACTCGGCTGCATCCAACCATCAAGCTTCTTGTTATCCTTGGACTTGGACGAATTGGGTAACTGATGCGCGTCGCCAGTATGGCGCTGCCGTCGTGCTCGGATGAAATGTCAGCAGTGAGGAATTATCCGGTGCAACCGCCTCGTGTAGGTATGTCGAACTGTACTGCGCATTCGGATGCTGACCTCAAGGGAGCCGTGTACCTCAGGTTTTTTGTAAAATGAAGGTGAGGAAAGGAACATTACCGTTCACCACTAAGTGACCACCAGGGTCACCACAACTGCTGGGCGGCTCTCACGGGTGGAAGTGAATCTTGTAGACAGCCCTTTCGTCTTCTATATCTTCCCTCGTCGCATTGGGAACGATGCATTTTGCCTGATCACCGTTCGCGTTCGTGATGTCAAGTCTTCTCACATCGGCTGCTAGAAAATCGCTCAGTCGGCTTATGACCTCTTTAACGTCATCACACGGAGATACGGGGCCATTTGGCTCGCCTCTCAAGAACGTCAACTCCCCCTTACTGACGCTCGATGCTTGTTCGCTGCCGTGGAGGGGTTATCCGGTGCAACCGCTTCGTGTCGAGCCGTACTGCGCGTCCTGCCCACAGTCCGGCCGGTTGCCAAGAAAGGAATTTATCAAAGAAAACGGCTAACCAACCAAACCCACCATATCGAGCCCAGTCCACGCAGTGCTGTCTCGAGCTGGTGTTGCTGGACGACTTGTTCAGTCCCACTCGGGTTCCACCCCCATGCTCGGGTATCCCCCATGCTCTCTTGGCGTCCTTCGCGTTTGGATGCTAACGTAAAGGGAGCGGTGTACCTCAGACAGGGTCAGACAGGGTGGGTGTAGTAAAGGATTGATCAGGTTTTTTTGTAAAATGAAGCCGAGGCAAGAACACTACCGTGCACCACTAAGGCACCAGCCAATAAGCAACGAACTCGCGCCGCAACTGCTTGGCGGCTCTCACGGGTGGAAGTGAATCTTGTAGACATTCCTGTCTTCTTCTATTTCTTCCCTCGTCGCATTGGGAAC